GTAAATACTTTATGTCTGTTATCTATTTACATCTATAAGTAAGCATCAGTTTTGACAATGGTATAATCAAGTTATCTTCTGCAACAATTGATTCTCTTTTATCGTTTCAAAACAATCTGACTCTAAACTAATTATTCCCTTTTTTAGACTTTCCACTTTCAAACATCCCACTTTTATACTTTTTTTTAATCTCATCACCATCGATTAAAACAATGAATGTCAATAAGCGATAATATAATTTATTTTTTAAGTGAACAGATTATTCCTGATAAATATGATCAAATATACTAAACAATCAATTGATGACGATAATAATAATGATAAAAATAATAAGTTTTTGTAATAATAAAATATAAATCACTCAAGTTTGTTTGTTTGTTTGTTTGTTTACAAGATATATTTAATGGATTGAGTCGAATGTGTTTAAGAATAAATTCTCAAAGAAACGTAGACTTTTATTTTAAGAGTTAATTGATGCATTTAGGAACAACTTTATTACACTTACTTTTGTCCACTTACATCTTGTTACGACGATAACAATTAAGAAAGTAAACAAACTTTTTGTGTTAACTACAGATATCATATTTTTTGGTGAATCTCATGACAAATTAAGCTATTCTCGTGCTAGTTTAGACATTAAATAATAAACTGAGAGACTCATGAGTGCAGTCTTGTTTGGAATCTCATTATCGAAATATATTCAAAAATCTGATGGAACTTTTTGTATCTTAACAAGTCGTCTATCTTTTAATGTAGTAAGTTTTTTTTATTTTAACCCCATGTGTAGGGCATTTTGTACTTTTCTAATATTCATTAATGTGTTATCATTTGAGGAGAGTATGAGTGATATTTATTAGTAAGGTTTGTTCGAAAGTAACATTCGAATTCAATTTCTTTTATTTTTTTCCAGATAAAAATGAAATATTCGAATTTCGTCACACACAACTGACAACTTATGTTGTTGACCTTAATCTTGATTGGTTCCTGGTAATCTGTACGCTGTCGTTGTCTGCGAATTTATTTTTGGTTATCTTTACCTTTGACCTTATTCCTGGTCTGATATGTCCATGATTTTTCCAATTGGTTGATAAGTTAGATTCCTGAGCCAGAACAACAGCTGATGAAGAATACTGTGAATTTATTATATTTATTTATTGTATCATAAACTGCTACAAGCAATAATTACGAAGTTGAGATGGTGGAGAAAACTTGTAGCTCAGGTGGATGATTGTGGTGGTGTTTCGTTCACCACCACAATTATTACGAAGTGTATGTAATGCGAAGTAATTGGCTTTGATTAAGGGGCGAAATAGAGCAACGCATATATATATATATATATATATATATATATATATATATCTGAAATTCATCGAGCTGTATGCAAAACCTATCTTACACGTCAAGTATGATACTGCTGATAGTTGCTTCTTCTGTTTGCATTTCAAAAGAAGGGAAATTACTGGAATAAGTAACCAAAGGTTAAAGGCTACGATGAGGAATTTCTATGCAACAGAAAGAATTTTTACCTTACTTGAAAAGAAATCCCCATTCAAACAAACAATAATCTACAAGTCCTCTTTTCTCAGTACTTCCAACTATTTATAAGTCTACATACACTCGAATAGAGAGAGGAGTACATATCAACATTTCCGAGAACGTTCCTAAGAATTTGAGATTGACAGGTGTAGTGACTCTAAACAATGTCTAAATCATTTGAAAAAATTTATTTTATAGATGCGAGTTTTCTACTTGTCTTTTTATCATTCAGTTTTATACGGTTGGTTGAAGTGATTTTGGTATCCACAGCTATTAGCTCGACGTTATCAGGGATTATTAATCGAAATCATTCTAAAAATGGAACCAAACAACTGGATTTTCTTACTATGTATAAAAGAGGTCGGCTGTTGCAATAAGAATACTGAGGCTGTTTGGAATAGACCTAGAACATAAACTATCAAGTTACTAAAACAAATACGACCATGAATAATTGGAGTCCCTACTTCGTGAATCATTTAATTTCTTATTTAAATAACCAGTAGGCAATGACTTGTTAATTTCAACAAGAAATAATAAAGCGACAATAGTGGAACAAGAATAACCAGTTATTTAGTAAGAGGACCGTTTTCGACAAAAATCTTTAACAAATAACTTTAGTGTAACCATATTGTTTGTAAAACATTACTTAGATATATTTCTCTTTATAATGCTCTTGGCAAATCAATAAACGGATCTAGTTGGTGTGAATAATTTTCTGTTTACATTCTCTCTAACAAAACAGTGGATTTGCTGGACTGCTAAATATTGTTTCAATGTAGTATCGTGTATCAGTTAAAAAACTGTTTTCATTACATGTAAGCTTGATTCAAGAAATTGAAAGCTTCATACTCTACACTTCATTGTTAATTTTCGGTTTAAAGTCTAAAAACTTGGTGCTTGAAAAATAATCTATATTTACTCCTGGTTGAAAATTTTTGAATCATGTTGTTGATCAAGTACACTGTTGATCCTTTTTGCCAAGCCACACAACCCTAGTTGTTTAACCACTCACACATGGAAACAAAATTTAGGTTTATTAATTACTGACCAACTCTCCAAACGTTACAAATAAGACGTTAAGATCCATGTGAAAGGATAGCTGTTCGCTTCACTGTATAAAATTAGCAGCGAAAATATCTGTAAACTGTGTTAGTGTTTGGCGAAACTAGCTACTGAACCATGGTGTAGTTTGAGAGTAAAATTTAAGAATTAAAGTTCAATTATACTGTAGAGTAGTTAACATGCATCATATTATTTTTGAGTCATATTTGAAATTCGCAACATTCCAAGCAGTCATTAAACAGAAGTATGGCTTACCTTGGTAACATTCTTTGAACAATATTCAGTTATACTTACTAAAATCAATAGGTTCTACAGATTCACAATCTCTCATTATTCTAATACTAGACTTCATACTACCGTTCTTCGCATTTGTCTGACGTTTTTATAGAACAATATAAACCTAATGCTTATTTTTGTTCAAAGACTTTTGTGATAATACAATGCACTCATCTATTAAAGAGAACAAACAGAAAGGAAATTTCTTTTCAGCTAGTTTTCTATCATGGTCCTAGTTGTATATATATATATATATATATATATATATATATATATATATATATATATATATATATATATATATATATATATATATATATGATTACAATGAATTCAAAGAGAAATTGCGTAATTGAAAGGAAAATGGCTGTAATAATGAAACTAATAATTCGAAAATTCAATTAAAGTTTCTACATTACATAACAGAAAAAAAGAATTATCGAAATATTTTGACAAAAGGCCAGTATTATCGTAGTTCAGAATCAAGAGACGGACGCAAAAGTGAAAGAAATTAGAAAATCATCTGAATATTTTTGAATGAATGAGTTTTGTCAATGCTCAACTAAAATTCACTGCAATATCAATGGTAGACTAAAATTCTTTTGAATGCAAAGGTTGTTCATGTGAACATGGATTCCGCTAGCTACAGCAGTATAAAAAAGACGAACTTATGAACTGTGTATATTTGATGAATTATGGTCGATGAACTACTAAGCTTTATTCAGGTCAACTTGATGTCTTGTGTTTATCAGATGAGCGAGAATGGAACTCCTTATCACCCTTACCTATCTTGTGCTCACTTAGAATGGACAGTGTTCTGCTAATCGGTTTATGCGCCCTGTATAACTAGCCCCACTAGATTGATAAATACACATGGAAGTGACGACTTGCTGGTGTTCATTACTGGATGATTGAAGAAAATCACATTCAGTTTGGCTTCGGCAAATATTTTCTGCAACGACTTTTTAACCTTTGACTCATAATTTCCCCGGGATTATCATTTAAAGATTTTAAATCGAAAAGGCATTTACCTTAGTTCTTTTTTCGTCTCACTCATGTATTTGTCGATGAATTTCATTGGATATCGATTCCTACTAAATAGGCTGAAAATCATACTGAACTCATCATCATCATCATCTTCAATGGTGTCATCGGAATATATCATTCTTTTATTCACTACACTTAAATCAGTCTTCAAACCCTTGTTCACACCTACATACCAACATGTGATCAAGATACTAGTCATGACAACCACTTCCTTACAGACTGAAGTAGATTGTTCTCAATATATATAATGGTATAGGACTTGGCATTGCTCAATGTGTAAGTCTAGTCTTTTGGGACTACACAAAAAGTAATATACTGATAAGTATTTTTCTCTTATTAGTTTCGATCAATAAGTATATTACAGTATTATTAGATGCATTGAATTAATGTGAGACGTTAATTTATTTAAATTCAAATCTTATTTAAAATACAATCTTCCAATACTGTTTAGCTTTTGATTTGAAAAAACAAACTAAAGTTGATGATGATTGAATTTCTAAGTTGCATGCCAATAAACTCAAAATTTTATTATTAATTTTTGTACCAACCTTCATAAAACCATCTGGTTAAAGGGTTAGTTGAAATGCGAAACCTCAAATAACTCATGATTTTAAGGTAGTGAATATAAAAAAATTCATTTGTAGCCATGTATATGTACGTATATAAATAAGTCTGGTGAATTTCAATATTGTAATACACTTTCACCTGTGTTTAGAGACGGTATTGTTAGTCTGAAGTGACCCTTGGAACAGTGAATAGAGGGGTCGTTTATTTATTTTATCTGAATATTTAAATAACAGAATCTAAGAGATTGATGATAAAGAAACAATATTGTAAACAGTCAGTAAGCCTGATGCCTTCTGCTTCAGGAAGTTTTTCTTATTTCTCCTGGTAGTCTAAGCTTTATTGTAGGTAATCACTAACAATAAATAGCTCCAATATTGATCACTAAGTTTCATTCTGTAATAATAACACATTAATTCAATACGCATTTAATTCAAAGTAAATGGTTCCTCATGCTCTCTTATTGACGTCGAAATCGTCAGGTGTACCAGAGACCAAAATAAAAAGCCCAAACATCATGGTGTTCAATTGTTTATTTTATAATGAAGATATAAAGTCAGAAAGTGAAATATTGCCAAAGATTTTGTTATGTGTTTTTAATAAAACTCTCTTCTTTGAATAGAAAAAAGAAACAAAAAAACGAATTAATTTATAATTTTATTGTCTTTCTCTTGAGAAATCGTAAAAGGAGTGGGTTTTGTGCCGTGTTAATGTTGGAATGTCACCATAACGCATAACATAGTTAGCTCCTCGTTTTCCAAATCTAATATAACGTTTGTTTGGAATCGTTTCCTGGTTGATGTAGTCCCGGTATTCATAGAGTGGTTCATATAAATGTTCATAAGAATCTGAAAAGTAATTAAAAATAATATTACGAATTAAATTTTGTCATTCATTGGTATATTCACTGTAAGTAAGTAACAGAGTGAACATCAAATCTGGGATGCAAGTATATCTAGCTGACAAGTCCTAAGTAAGACGAAACGCGTATCCTGTATTCCAACACTAGTCACTATTTATCTATGCTTACTAAATTTTGTTCATCTATGAGTTGAAATAACATATATAAGGAAGATGAACAACGAAGGTTTAAAATAATTTTCTATGTCTAAGTATAAAATCCCAGCAATGAAGTAAATTTCAATACACAGGATTGATATGATAATCGCAACCGGTTAACAAAATTCTGATCTGTAGGCTATGTGAAGAATAGATTTGAAATAAAGGCTGATATATTAATAAATATCAGTTAGACTATATCACTGTTACACTATTGATATTTCATTATTATAATAATTGTAAATGGTTGGATTTGCTTTAAAAAAGTAAAACATATTGAAATACCATTCAAGTAAAAATCTTTGTTTTTGTAATATTCTTGATGCGATAGTATACAAGAATAACCATTATGGATCAAACTTGATTCTGCTTGACAGTCATATGACCTAGATTAACTGGTTCACTAAATATCAAAGACAACGAAATTTACTATTGCATAAGACAATATTATCCTAGCTATTTAGATAAAACTATCAAGAATAATATGTGAATTACATGTATGTTATTAATTTTATAAAAATTGTAGTCGTTACCATAAGCTATGTACAATACAAGCAGATAATTTAAAAATGTGTCAACATTTCAATACATATGAAAAAAGACAATGTACATATATATCTTTAAATTTGCCATACATACTTTACACAAAGTAAAACAATTAAAATCACATATTTTATTGCTGTATAAATGATTTTTGAATATCTATTGTATAAAAAAAAATGAAAAGTTCATAGAAAGATACTCGTTTCTATTTACTTTCTTGTTTACTTTTCGTTCTATTCTTTTGACCCCTTATACAGTTAGGTGAATGAATGATGAATATAGAGAAAACAAAATCAGTGATTACTATCATATTTCCGTATTCTGTTCACAATCCCATTAATTATTTATTTTCACTAAGATAGTTTCGAATATTATTAACGATCGCTATCATTCATCATTGTAATCATAGTAATAAGAGCATTATTATTATTTTAAGGTCAAATTACCTTGATTATGTACATAACTTTGAGACAAAAGTTGTTATGAAATTAGACTGACAACTGATCGATGAAACCGGTTGTTCTAGTGAATATCATGTTTTAACAAAATTTTCTGTACATTATGACAAGTTACATTGTTTAATTCTCCATTGATATCAGATATTTAAAGCGAAGTTTCTATCAGTTACCTTTGACCATAGAATGCACGAGATGTACTCTGTATTATTTAATTAAACAATTATTGGATATAAGTCATAAAATTTTTTTTGTAAAACTACTGAATGTTTTCATAAAAACGCCCACTTGATGAGAGACGAATTGAGAAAAAAGAGTTTAGTTTTATTTTATGTTCACGTTACTATATGTAGGTAAATCATCTAAAAAATTTAAATTTCAGTATAATAAGAATGAGCGTGTACCTACAACTTCTAGAAAGCTAGCACCAGTCAACTCTTAACTTAGAATGATATTACCACGGTGGACATGTGTTAAACAGTCTATATGACCATATGTTTGATTCATGCTTATAAAGTTTTATCAGCACAAAAAATATTTAATTACAGTTATGCAGTGTTCATATGGCTAAATTTAATGTTAATAAGCATCGCACGTTTCTTCTACCAGTTTAAAATATTTGGCTTAGTTGATCTAAAGTCTTCAGTTTTTGAAAATATTGGAGAGATTAGTGAAATCTATGTAAATATATCTGTACGAATTATTGTCTGCTCTAATGATCTGTCCATAGAATCTTTTGAAAAATTCATTTTACGGTTTGCTGAAGTTACGAAAATTACGATCTTCAATAAGAAAAAAGTAATTCCAGTTCAAAATGCTTTTGTTTTTTTTTAAAGACAGATTTGAAATGAATTTCAAGCTTATATCAATTTCAGTGCGTAAAACTTTGTTTTATTCATACTGTCAAGTAAGAAAATATTTCTATTTTGATAGTAAGTCAAGTGTATTCTTGCTGTTGTGGTATAACCTAGTAGAATTTTCATTGTAAATTTGACAATCAAGTGTGTGTGTATGTGTAAATATTGCAGAGAAATATATACAGTTCCTTACACTAATAGATCACTGGAAATATTTTTATAAACATTTATTAAATGCCTTTATTAGTATCTTCAAAAGGCCCACTGATATAAATTTCATTCACATCTTATTTGACAGTACAATAAAACTATTCAGACTTAATTTAAAATTGAATAAGTCAATTTACTGCTAATTATATTGGCCTAAATTTCATAGATCTTTTTTAATAAATTTGATAATCAATTTATCTATATTTTAATTGATATTTTCTATATTACTATCTAACCAAAATGTTTGCTGAAATACAGATTTAACTCTACATTATGTATGAAGTTTTTAAATAGACTGATGAAAAAAATGATTTCAGTCCCTAAATCATCTCTGCGGAAACGATAAGTGAGTCTAAATTCATCTAAATGTTTGTGGCGTCGTTTGGGTCTTTGAGTTGGATGTTTTGGTTGTGGAGCTTTCATTGTTCTTCTGAACAACATCATCAGCACAAACTTCAGATAGAAGTGAAGCATTCGAATTTCTCCACGTTTGACCTATAACTTGTTCTGCTAACCTCGATCATGATTGTTTGCTGTTGACCTTAATCAGGAAAATCATAGGTGACATTGGATCAAGAAACAGATCAAAAGGAGGATAAAATCAAAACAAAGGTGCAAAAAACGAAAGGCTTTAGGTCAACAGCAACCAATCAAGATCGAGGTTAGCAGAACAAGCTATAGGTCAAACGTGGAGAAATTCGAATGCTTCACTTCTATCTGAAGTTTGTGCTGATGATGTTGTTCAGAAGAACAATGAAAGCTCCACAACCAAAACAATCAGCTCAGGGAACCAAACACCACCACGATCATCCACCTGAGCTACAAATTTTCTCCACCATCTCATCTAAATGTTACTAAGTATTGTGATATTAAACTCCTTTAATTTACACCGAAAATTTACATTGTTGTATAACTGATGTTAAACGTGGGTACAAGTTCAATCTAGTTAAATAAGGAGATTTTTGAATAAAATATGTCATCAACTACATCGAAGATATTTTGCTTATAATTAGTTTGGTTGAAACGACGATACGCATCGTACCATGTGACCAGTGTTACAATCAATTTTGACTTCATCTTGAATTTGTCGTCAGTTCATAAATCTTTAAAGCTTGAGTAGTCAATAAACGCACACAAAGCTATCAAGACCAAGAGAAGGGAAACGGTCATATTTAGAATACTGAAATAGCAGATCAGCATTAAGCAAAAGCATTCGAAATGCGACAGATGTGGCTGCTTACAAAAAAAAATAAAATTAACTTAATAAACTGAACACTTTCAGTTACTGCAATTCACTCTCGGGAATCCGTTAAATAGGAATTTCATAAAACGAATCTGAGATTATAACATGAGCTAAAGAATAGACAGATCAAACAAAACAGTACGAAATAAGCAGTTAGAGCCACAGCTTTGTGAGTACATAACACAAATCAATGTAATGATGTTCAAATCATTAAAGATAAACAAAAAGTAATCAATCCGATGATGTCAAATACAAGAGAAAGTCAAATTTTAAAATAATATCAACGGCTAACAAGTGAGTCATAGGGAAACGATAATAAGAGATTTTAAATTGCAGATCTGTATACACTAATTAAATAGGATAGCAAATTTAATAATAACATTCGTTCATTGATCAAGTTATATGAAAGTATAATCTGAATGCATATTTATTAAAGATTTAGAGCAATATAAAACATTAAAAAAATTCTCCGTTTCAGATAAAAGCTTTAAAGGAATATGCCATATATTGAAATTAATTATTGATTGCCTATTATCACTTATCTAAATAATTATATCACATGGAAAATCTATACATTTTATTTAATAATCATTCCAACTAAAGTTTTTTTATTAACAAAACTAATAACTGTTTTCGGAAAAATTTCAGACGAATTCTTATTTACCAGTTATTGTGCCATTTATAAAATACTAAGCAAACAATTCACTTCAAAAGGCTACGAATATTATTTTTAATATTTAATACAATGGTTTTTATTCATGAAACATGATTGTACTAATTATTATTTGTTGAATTCAATTTGTACAAGTATGATGGTAGGCTTTACTTAGTCGAAATATTTATTTTACTTTTGCATAAGAGCATTTCCCGAAACTTATCAAAAATTATAGTTAGTATTATATAGAAAATATATCAAAATGCAGTCGAAAATGAAGTTTAATAATAATAATAATAATATAAATCAGTGAATAACTTACTTTGTTCTTCAGTAAAACTATGGACATCGACCATTAATACAATCATAATGGTTAACATAAGTAAACTGAATAATTCCAACAATTGTATTCTCATGTTTAATTGTCTATTTTATTTAAAAAATGAAACAAATAATTCAATATCAACAATTGCAAAAGCATAATATTAAATCATTTCAACTAATTTAAGATCTATGTATGAGTTTCTTAACCTTATTATATGGGTATATAATAATGCATATGAATGATCCTACTTATACCGGTAAGCAAGTTTTATATCATAAATTCTTATATACCTTCTATTCAATGATAGATACATGCTCATAAAATGTGAAAGAAGGAAACTTTGGCAGAAATGTGCGTTTTATGTAAGACGTTTAATTTGTAAAATTTCCAAGTTGTTTTCTTTCTTTGTATTAAATTACTTTAGAGCGCTAAAGTCCATTTTACTAATTAAAATTTGAATTTTTATTCATGGTCAAAAAGATTCAGGAAATGTTAACATCAACCTTTATATTGAGTTTTAAATTACACTCATTGAAAATCGTCTATTATTTTCCGTAGTTTTAACAAGTCTAGATACTGTCATACACGAGCTAAAAATGTTCCGGTACTACGATGTCTGTTGCAAATCGTGTTTTGAAAGTATTTCAACTGTCATGGCAATGCATTTATCACAATTCTTTCTTTAATCGACTTTAGAATTCCCTTTACGTGTTTGTGAAATGTGAATTCATAGCGTACAATTGTAATAATCGGAGGTGTGTTGTCATTGGATACATTTGAATGAAATTGAAATTCTACAAATGATATCATAGTTTGAAATGTTTGTGTATTTTGGAAAATGACCTACGGCAGTTAGACAAAATACTTATAATATACAAGAATATTAAATATAAAGACGAAAAGCAAAAAATATTTAATACTATAATGATTGCGTCACAGTATTTTTAGGTATCGAAAAATGATTACACAATAATAACGATATAATATTTTGATACTAACTATGCGAGTCCTTGAAGTTATCTCTCACTATCCAGAACATTTTATTCGTTGAGAACCCGTACATATCCCGACCGTAGCTGCTACCTTGACGTGGTGGTCGGGCTTGCCTATCGCGATGACCCAACCGAGCTATACTGGCTGGAACATATGTTCCTCAAGGTTCTACCATGCCAGGCAGGTCGATTGGAGAACGATGAGACTAAATGCAGCTACTCAAGGTGTGAGGGCGAAGTCATACTGCTGACTGTAGAGGGATGTGACAGCAGTAAGGTGTTTCCCTCGGACAACCAGCATCTGCAGCGATGCTGCCTTCACACAAGGAAGGAAGGGTTAGAAAAGGTCGGCCCTAAAAATGTCACACCTCACCTTAACTCACGGATTTCCATATCTGGCGGTAAGGGTGCTCACCAAGGGCTTTTAAGCGCAAAGCTAATACTCAAGAAGTTGTCCCTTGTGGTCTGCGGTCAAGCTCCCAGGTCTCTAAGACTGGCACTAATCTATCTTCCTTTTCAGGTTCCTGTGCATATGTCTGAAAGCTTGTTAAAATCATTATGATTACATATATAAACATGATAAAAGATTTTATAATTATTCTTAATGTTAAAGAAAATAGTTCTAATAAAAACAGATGGTTCATTTACTTTTCTGTTTATTCTTGCTTTAGATTATCAACCATATCAAGTCAAGCAATAAAGAAACATTGAACACAGAAATTAGTAATCAGTTTCAAATTTTCGACTTATTATCATAATTCCTTGAATTATCTACAGAAAATGAGCCTGATTTGTAAACACAAAGTAAATCAACAGTCACACCGTAATTATTTTAAATTTTAATGAAAAAATTATCCCAACCTCATCAAATTACATATTATTGCCTTATTAACCCAAGTTACTGCTTTAAATTTATTTAGTAATGGTTCTCTTCGATGATGTACTACAATGAAAAAACATTGAAAGTAGACTAAAAGCCGAGAGATATGAAGCCCTCGCCCTTATTGTTTAAATGATAGATTTATTTATATTTTTATATAGTGTCTATCCAATAACTGTCTGAATATTTATAATTATAATCTTAAACTGATGATCAGTTAGGATAATTTCTAAACTAATGTAAACTACAGTCGGTAATCTGTAACTATAGTAATTGGTCATGAATTTAAAATCTATTCGTCTTGCTGTTATATAACTATCGTTTAAACAGGACGATTATATGCATTTCGATAAGTTTGGAACTTTTATGATATCTTCGTTACTAATTCGTTTTTTAAAAAATTTGATTATCTTTTTAAAGTGGGTAAAAGTAAGGTGGAAAATAGAAGTGATTTCTACGCATTCAAATATAAAATTAAACAAAGATGAATTTGTTTTGTTTTTAAAAATACATGTTGAATAACTCATCAAAGAGTTACATTGTATCGTGAAGTATTTTTTTCAAAAATGAATTAATAGGTTTAAAATAATAAATAATTCTCCTTAGAGAAAAACTAAAATTTTACAACATACACAAACAATAATGTTTAAGGATTGAATTATTTTTTTTATAAAATAAGTTTCAGTTTATTTTCATCATACATTACTTGAAATGAAATAGAGGACTTTAATCAGACTAAGTGAAAAATGAGTAATATAACGATACAACACACATGCATCAATATGGATAACAAAATGTTTATAGACAAAATGGATATCTTTACTGATTTTACTATAGTTTAAAACATTTCACGCCTACGGAATATAATGTAAACATCTTTTCAATATTGCCTGCTCAGAATTGTTGTAAATATTTTGGAGAAAACATGAATTAAGATCTATTTTCTCATGTATCACTAAAAAATAAATGGATTCGATAGTTTGTTATTTAATGAATATCACTTTTTTTTTATAAATAATTAATTTTAAATTAATAATGATCCCCATTAATATGAATTGGATTTTTAAATAGAGTAAAAATTTATTCAACAGAAATAAACACCAGTATCTTGAAAGTAAAATACGAGTTCAGTTCAGCTTTACAAATGTTGATAACATGATGCATTGTGGAATGAAACAAATTTATGCATAAATCAAATTTTCGACTACTAGTGGATTATTTGTGGACAGCTTAGCAAAAGAGAATTTATCAAGTGATTACTCAAAAATTAATTTGTTATCAAACAGTTGTCTGATTATGCTTCGGTAATGAAGCTAAATTTAGAATATATTTACAGTGGCTGTGCAGCAAATATGTGGAATGATTAAAACTAATTGCTATGAGGATATGCTACTCGGGACTTATTAGCAAAGACAATCTTTTATATTAGTCAAACTAGTCTTTAATTTGGTATTCGAATTAATACCACCTGGTTTCATGGTTACAGTCAAGCTATTTAGTCTAAAAAACTGTAGGATTGAAGTAGTTAGGCTTTTATGTTAGCGTACAAACCTAAAGTCAAAATGTCTTTAAATTTGCGGTAATTGGATCCTGTTGACGAAAATGAATAATTTCATCAGAAGGAAATCAGGTCCCGGAGTTTATTTCACATAATCTACAACCAATCTACAATGTACATGATGTACATGACGTCGTCAGTATAATCCAATCGGTCGTAAGAACTAGATAAACATTACACTGGTCACCACTTAGTAATCAGTCAACATGACTATGCAGTAAATAAATGATCATATATTAATGACTATTACTATTATCTGTTCACGTTTGCTGATTTATTATATCAGATAAGATGAAGCACACCTTTTGTTAGTATAAACGAGCGTCAGAAATAATTAAATTAATCAGCTCCTCTTCATTATCATTTTATAAGACGATAAAATTAGTCCAAGTGATCTTTCGTCAAATCATTCTCACAATACTTATAAGTTCCTCCACTAGAGAAAATGCAACACAGTAAACGACTGTAGTTTAATAATTGAATAAAGCCTATAAATTTTTAAACTATTTGCAAAAATTACATTTATGAATCTGTCCGAAATTCAGTTGAAAATGCTTTTAAATATTCCGAAATGTCTAAATATTGTTTGACTATGTTTTGTTGCAATTTATCTGACATTATTATTAACTATAAAAGAGACTGACTGAATAATACACCTCATTTCAAGTGTTCTATTTCTTTTGTTCTATTTTTCAAAAGATACTATATCTAAGCAAAATATTTTGAATTCGGCATTTTGTTGTAAATTAAAGTAACTTTTATAGAAATCTTCAAAACTTTAAGTCATCTATTTAACTTAATCACGTTTGAATTTAGTTTTAAAAACTGTATTCATCACTGCATCTTTGATATTTAAATATTTTGAATTCTTAAACAATATGGGAACTATTTAAAAACGGAATATTTATAATTCATATAGCTTTCTTTCTATACATTTTACATGGAATATACAGGAAATTTTCATGTAATTCAGTTACTTAATGGTGACATGATATACCGACAAGGAAGATTCTTATCGACAATCTTTTGCATTTGATAATTGCTGTTCTTTAATGTTTAATATGGTAAACACCCGATTTACGTTCCCAGAATCATATTTTATCCGAAATCAAATAATGTTGGGCTATTGTATCATTTAACATAGATGTTGAGTGAAAATAATTTAGAAGAATTTATTTAGGACCAAAGCGAATCCCAATTTACTGGCAGTTTTTCACATTTTATCCTCCAAATAGTCATCAGCTTAATTATGACTTTGTAATTTTTCTGTATCGAAATCAAATATACTGGGTCAAAACTATGGTCAGAGTAGCAAGTGAAGCAAATAACAACTTCTAGCTGACTGGTTTCAAATAAGGTGAAAGACACTATTTGATTTTAGTGGTGTTGTTTTTTTCGACTGACTACTTTAATGTCTTTGAAAATAGTAATCTTGTTGAGTATTCATTGACTTTATTACTTAAGACGTGTGTAATACAGTTTTAAGAAGTTTTATGTGTAGTTTGTACATGCGGTATATTATTGAATTCATACATAAGAACATCATCCATCAACAAACTGGTAATTTATTTTCTTTCTTTGAAGTAAATTGAGTAGATTACGCTGCAACAATGTCGTACATAAATTTATGAACTCAACAATACAGAAATAATAAATTAGTTATGAACATAG